AGCGAGAGAGCGCAAGAAAGCCAAGAGCACGAGAGGACCCAGAGATTATCTGCCAGAGTTAGCCTCGGCTTTGGAGGGGTGGGGGAGGAGAGGAGAAGAGAGAGGGAGAGATGCCACTGAGCATTGGAGAAGAGGGAGATGCTGAAAATGTAGGGGGAGGTGAAGGGTGGGGAGGAGTCTTACCTGCTCTGGGGACTCAAAAAAATCTTGCTGCTTCTGTAGCATAGTCTGCCCACCTCAGATTTTGCTCTGACAGTGGCAGCACAGTATTTGTGCACCCGACTGCTGCCAAGGCACCCCTACTAGCTGCCCCTGCAAGTTATGGCTATTATTTAAAAAAAAAAAAAAAGGCTGCCGCTTCATTGCATGCAACTTTGGGTAACATATGTCCCCTTGAAAGGGTAAAACCCCTTTCCAGGAGCTAAGCCAGAAGGTAGTTCTCAAAGGCAGTGGTTCTCAACCTCTTTTGTACCTGGCCCATTTGTAAACATCAGTGGCAGGTCCCAACCCACTGCCCTCCATCTCCAGGCCCCAGTACCAACCTGTGTGGGGGGCAGGGAGTGGGTATGGGGCACCGGGGGGCTGGAACTCTGCCATCCCACAAGGGAAAAGCCATGGTTTCCCATGTTTTTTCTCCTTTAAAGGAGAATCTATTGTTAAAGTTTGTTCACAACACTTTCATATATTTCTGAGACCTACTTTTGGGTCATGACCTATGGGTTGAGAAACACTGCTCTAAGGGAGCAATGGATAACCAAGGGGGGCAGGGACCAAAAGGCAAAGTCTCAAAGCCCAAGGGGTCAGGGCCTGGCCTGGTTTCAAGGGATACTCCAAGAGCCTGTAAGATGGGTCCCAAGCAAATGTTTTTCTGGGGATCCATTACAGCTTCTAATGCATGTCTGTATATGGTTGAAGTCACCTATACGTGGTTCACAGAACTGTTTGCAATGAAGTGCAAGTGGTTTGAAGACTACATCCAGGCACGTCCCCTCAGGAGCTATGAATTATAATACTAGACAAATGAATTTCAGAGCCTGCCTCCTGCTGCAAAGACTAAATACTCCGGACTTCCCTTTCTCATTAATGTGATGTCCCTTAGTTATGCAGTACCAAATTTGCCAAGTGACAAAAGAAGAGAGGCAGAATAAACTCTACCAGGTCCTCCAGACAGTAGTGTAACTAGGGCAGAGTGAATGGGGCACCAACTTAGAGAGGGCACCAGTATGACCCCCTTCCCCACTGGAGTCTTTGCAGGTAAAGCCCAGTCATAGGGCCTGGCCGGTGCAGCCCCATGCTGAGCAGTGTATCTTGGGGTAAGGGGGCTGAAATTACACCCCTCCCCACAAGGAGTTGCCATGCCCTGCTTCCAGGGGTGGGGAAAGCAAACGGCACAAGAAGCAGCCCCCAGGGGAGACCACCCCACTGCCTGTTGCTCACAGCAAGAGCTACTGCTTATGTGAAGACAGTCCCAGTAGGTGAGAGTCCCCCCGTCCAGCTCTCCAGCGGTTTGCTTAATTCCACCCCTATCTTCCCTGCCCCAGGTGCTGAGCAAGCTGGGCTATGTATGCCTTTGCTTCCACATGTGTCTAACTGATTAGAGCCTATTCAAACAAGCCATGATTTATGCAAGGCAAATTTTATTTTTTCTGTATCTAATCCATTTAAGAGACCATGTTCAGTTCAGTGCCATCAGTGCTAGGCTGTCTGTGTTCATATCACGACCATGCCAAGAAACAGTGACACAAATACATTTTGTTTTGACAGGGTACCTTTTATTAATAATTCTCATGAATTTGTCACACCTAGGAGGTGTCAGTCTTTTTTCACACTCTGCAAGACTTCTGGGAGAATAAACTAGAAAGGCAGAAAGTTAATTGAAGCTACTAAGATGCACATTGGTAGGTGGGTCTATTTTGGATTTTTTTTTACATGATTTTCCATGAATGTGCCTCTAAAATTAAATATGTTGAGAGAAATACAGTAGAAAGAATATATTTACAGTCAATTATAATGAGCACTGCCAAAATATCCAATAACAAAAATAAAACAAAAACTTTTTCATGTTTCTTGCATGCTTTTTTTCACAGAGATTTTAAATACGATTTTGTTTTTTAAAAAATACAATAAGGAAATAATTACATTCTTAATATGAGAACATTATCTTACAACATACAGCCAGGGTCAATTATTTTGAAAGTGTCTAAAATAAAAAAATTGATACTACATTAAGTATTCTCTGTTAGAAAAATCAAATCACCACAATCCTCTTATAAAAACACCTTTGGTCCCCTAAAATTATGATCCCATATTTTAAAAAGTATAACAAAAAGCACCTGATACAGTAATAGGAGTTTGTTGAGGAAGCGCACGTTTCTCAAAAGACACTGAATCGTGATGGTTTAAAATACAAGAGTTTTTGTCATGCTGGCCTATTGCTGAGTTTTGCCTGGTGATTTTTCAGTTTAAAAACCTTGAAAAAGCAAGCTCTGTTGCTTTTCAGTAAAAACCGTACAGTAAAAGTAATGTGAAACAAAATGTGTATATTTCACAGTCCTGAATGAGGTCTGTAAGGAGGTTATTTCAGGCTTTGAATGGTTTTTTCTTAAAATACCTTGGCCATTATATACTTCATTATAGAATAGATTTCACAAGTATGCTAATGCAAAATGTTAGCAATATTTAGAAATGTTTAACTGCAGTATGTTTTGGGGGAAAATTGTTCTTTGCAAGGGATAGGGAAGAATATGCTTAATCTTGTCCATAATACTTCATTTGGATTGGGCATTAAAAGGTGCCATTCTTAAAAGTATATGTGGCAGAGTAGAAGACCGTATTATCATCATTAATGGGAGCTATGCAGACTTTAAAATTTTTGTTTGATTACAGGAATTTGCACACTCCTATCTCAGGCATGGACTCAAACATTAACTCCAGCCTCCTCACAAATTGAACTTCACAGTGGAGATAAGTGTCACAAAGCCAAAACTTGAAAAACTAATTAGTTAGGCTATTGATTATTTGGTGTTACTTGATGTGGGACCAGTTTGTAATGGTAACTATTTTGTTGTCAAACACATTGACTAGAGGCCTAATTTGCATCATAAATATGTACAGATATAAATTAAATATTTATTGAAATATACAAATAAATAACTTATTTTGAAATAAAATGCCTAAATGAATTTTTTGCATCAATTTATTTCCTGATGTTTGTGGGATATTTGTAGTTCAGTCATGCAGCATAACATGTGCCCTCCACCTATAAAGTGTTAATGGCAATCTAATGTAGAATATAACATCCTACTTGGAATAACAAACACTGCTGACATTTATTTCCCTACTGTATTTGCATTTAAAAAAAATGTACTAGGAGAAGGAAGAACCTTCTGCCATTTAGGGCTAGCACTGAGAGCAGTGGGAGCATTGTCATTGACTTTAATGGGAAACAGGATCAGGCCTTTAGTAGTGGGCCATTATGGACCAGGCTTTCAGTATTCAGCCCCCACAACCCCGCATAGGTTTTTCAGGAGCCTTTGTACACTGAAACCTGAAAAATGTGGTCGCTGGTCCCAAACCTAGTCTTCTTGCATGTCGATCTCCCACTGATGTCCTCTTGCATTCCTCAAGTTTTGTATACGTCTATACATTGACAAAGCCATATACATTCTTACTAATGACAACTACAATAGAACTGCAGGTGGGTGATGAAGGGATATTTTTTCTTACCTTATTACAGTGTTGCCAACTCTTCTCACTTATCTGATATATTTGGTGCCACAACCCCTGGAGGCCAGTGACTATTTTTTCCCTCAAAATGTCTAGCCCTTATGGTTATGAACAAAACCTGGAAAACACAACCTGAGTATGCCTAAGGCACCCTAAACCAGAAGGCAAATAAAAAGAGTAAACACTTCTTTTTATAAAACATCAAGATTTTTAAGAAGATGATATGAGTTTTTGGGATGTTCAACTGGCAATAATGCATGCAACTTTCCAGGAGTGATGTAAATACAAAAGGGAGAACAGACCTTTGCATCAATTTTGCAGAGTAAAAGGAAAGATTCTGTTTCTTGGCAAAAGACAATGAGTCTGTTCAAATATCTCTGTCACATCTCACTTTATCACTATTGTGTATAAAGGAGAATAGAAATAATTCCCTCAGCCTGTCATCCTCAAAAACAGTGTCTGAGATCTGAAAGGAATGAAGGAAACAAATATAGCCATGTTCTAAAACTCAAATTTAACAGCAAGCAAAACCAAACTGCACAAGCTATTTAAAATTGCCATTATTTGTTCAGAATTAATTTTAATGGCTATCTCTTTGGGAGATGCAGAAATGAAGCACTTTGTTACCTTTCAAAAATCAGGAATAATATAGTTCTCAGACCATATAGGAGAGATCCTGATAACAAAAGCATCTGTCCAAAAATATATCAAAAAATGCTTCACAGTGGAGTTGTGAAGATGCAGAGAAGGGCTTCTGACTTCCCAGCTTGAGCAAATCGTATCACTTCTATGGCTATACTGTATATCTTCAGTGTCTAGCCATGTAAACAGGTAATAGCTGAGTGAATCCTAATAAGGAAGCTTGTGAAAAGTCCTCTCCCAACAACTTTTATGGTGGAATTCTGAAAGTCAAAATAAGCCTTAACAGTACATCACATCTAAATTGAACTGATTTCACACAAGGCTTGAAAACACCCACCATGCATTAGAAATCCAGAAAGGAAATGAAAACACCCACCAATTTTCATTTCCTTTCTGGATTTCTAATGCAATGCAAATGTTGGTTTAATCCATTTCAGCAATGTAAATCTCAATTGCAACTATATGCTCCTTTTACATTACTAAGATTTTTACAAATAAAGTTGGGGAAAAAGTTACAGGTAATAAAAAGGGGCACACTTAGTTACACAGTAATACAGTAGAGAGTACAGACAAATGAGGGCCAAGCTACCTTTAACTTATTAGAATTATAGAACCTCTTATGCTGTATGACTTGACACCACTCCATAGATGAGTCTTTCGAAGCCTACGTCTTGGTCCATACTACATAAGCCCTTTATACAAAGAAAATGTTCTTGCTGTGTTTAGGTTCCATTTTTCATCTCCCATTCCTGGAGGGCAGAAAAAAACATAGGGAAATGTTACAGAAACCATAATGTCCAGAGATTCAGTTAGATCTAGCTACGGGTCTGATCCCAAGCCAATTAAACTTGACTTCAAGGGGCCTCTACTCACAAGTAATGGAATCTCTGAGGCACTGAATTTGTTTTACAATTTGGAAAAGCACAAATAAACAGAGGAAATGTGCCCCCTTCTATACCATACGTAATTTGTACTACAGAGTAGCTGCATATTGACATTTTCTTTGGGCTAAAGCGCCTTGAAGCCTTTTCTTTACTAACTGCAAATCTGCAAGGCATATCTAGTTAGCAAAAATACAGAAGGGTCAAATGACAAAGGATTAATTAAACAATGCTGCATGTTCAGCCTTATACAAATAATAGGAAGGCTGGCTACAAATATGAGATGGTAGGTAAGGACTTTCTAATTAACCCTGTGTGGGGTGAAGGACCCCTCAAGTGTACACCATTTCTTGAAGGGCTCCCAATCCCGACACACACGTAGACAGTGACATTTTACTATGGAGCTACTTAGTCTATTCTGCAGTAAAGCACCCAGCAAGGCTTAATAGCTAAGGCATTGAATCTGAGGTAAGGAACAAGGATTCCTGAATTTGATGCTCATCATGTCACTGTTCATATTTGTTTTCTACATACTCAGTCTTAGCTCAGGCTCCATTACTGCTGCTTCTGCCACTTCAATACCTTTCTGAACACAATTCCTCTACTGGACCTTTATTGGAAGTTTGGCTATTGACTTGAAAGGGAGAACAACTGATCCTCTCAGGGGTATTTCCAGCCTACAACTCTGGCAGAAGAAATTATGCAGTTGTGATGTACATGTATAGTTACATTCCTGGAGAGTGTGCATCATGAAGTGCAGGAACGTGGTCTGCTGTGCTCTTGAACTATCAGTACACAGGAACAGAAGAGGGGAGGCAGGGATGGGCTGAGGCTGGACAAATTTACTAAACCAGCCCCTTTAGCCAGGACATGTTGAAGCCATAGAGCTTCTTTAGTCTTTAGTCTCAATGGAGCAATCGCACATTGTTCTGCAGCCAGGTGCTGAGGGTAAGACTTTTTCCTTTTTCTCACCCCAATCTCTGTGCAGAGATACTAAGCAGGCATAATTTGTAGAGCTAGAAGGAAAACAACTGACTGCTTGTACATTTTACATTACAGAGTCCTTGGTTAAAAAATAAAAGCAACCCTGCCAGCAGGGACCAGAAAGTTTCCATCTACACTGCCTCATCAAAGGGCTCCAGGGTTAGTCTTCCTCGTCTTGTTTCCTTCTGATTCAAGAATCTTGCACTCTTGGTGCTCAGTAGCCAGTTTCAGCGGTGGAGAGGGTTCTAGACAAGCCTATAGTTTGGTGGTTACAATAGTCTCCTGGGAAATAAGAGGTTTAAGTTGCCTCAGACTAAAATAAGCCTAGAATCAATTTTTGGGTAAAGACTTTAACCACTAGGCAATGTGCAAGAGGTGCCCCCACTACCGCAGCTACAGAAGAGGTGTTGCGCTCTGCACTGATGGAATGCGGCTCTCAGAGTTAGGCAGTCTGAGGCGGGCACTCTGAATCCTGGGATGATGGAGTTGCCTAATGGACTAAGACAGGGGTTGTCAACCGGGGGTATGTGCACCCCTAGGGATACTTGGAAAGGTCCTAGGGGGTAGGGGGGGGGGGGGCAGGGGCAAGAGCAGCAGTGCCCCTCTGCAGGTCGCACAGGCGCTGCTTGGCAAGCTGGAAGCGGGGGTGGGGGGAGGGTAGCTTGAACACGGTCACAACCACCACCTTGCACTGCCACCATGTGCTGCTTTCTCATGGCCAGTTGTAGATGCGGCTCCACGGGCTGCTGATGGGCGGCACGCGATTGGCCAGTTGCAAGGCCCATGGAGCCGCACTTGTGACTAGCCACGGGAAAGTGGGGTGCAGCGGTGGCATGCAAGGGCCCCCCCCCACATCCAGCCGCCGCCGCCAGAAGGTTGAAAACCCATGGAATAAGGTGCCTGAGCTCTGAGGAGTGTAGTTCACTGTAGGTGCCAAATGGCTCACTGTAGGCCCCTCCTTACTAGACTGCCTTATGGAAGTGGCTAATTCTCTCCATTGACTGTAGTAGGATCCTAAGTGCTTAAACTTTCAATCTGAACTGACCTCCTGGGGCAAGGTACCTAATTTTTGGGCATGTCAGCATGTAAGCAGAAGTGCTTGTGGTGATGATGTAGATCTGAACCAATAGCTGCATCACTCCTGTGTCATATGTCAGCTATAGCATAGGAACCCAGGGGCCTATAGTTGGTGTCCCATAAGGCTGTATGAACATCATTAGCTCCAAAGGATAGATATAAATTGCTTAATTGAAAATATAATATAAAAACAAATCCAATTTCTTAATTTTAAAATTAAATGCAAAATTATGAATAACCTATAGCCTAAACATATTATAATATATGCACATAAGCAACATTTAAAGTAATATACTTTAAATATAAACAACAGTACATTTGCTGCCAAAGCTTTAAAGAACGCCAAATCCTGGAACCAGAATGGAAGTCAATGGCTTATTGCCTGGAACTAGAGCTTGTTCAATGCTAAATCAATTTTTTCCATATGCAGTTTTCATTATTCACATTTAAGATACTTTTATTTAACTAATAAGAAGAATGAAATGTTGGTTTTTGCACATGTTGATGTTGATGCAATTCCAATTATTCTCTAAAAAGAGCTTGACATGAAAACATGAGTAAGAAATTAATAACTACATAGAAGCACATGATTCACCACTTTCAAACAGAATAAAAAAAGGAAATAAATTTATATTCTGAATTCAGAATATGCATGCAGACATAATGCATCTCCTGTTTAGCAAACAGAATTAACAAATTTATTATAACTATTATATTTATCAGTATATTTTAATAACCACTAACTAGCCACTGAGAATCAACTTTTTCAGGAAAATAAATTAAAAATACAAATACAAAACAAGTTGAAAACCCATAATTTAAACCAATCCACCTTCCTCCATGTCTACCACCATTAAAGAATTGTAGAAAAGTAGGGCTGGATGACCTCAGTAGGTCATCTCACTCAAACCCTTGCTCAAGGCAGGATCCTCCCTGTCTACACCATCCTAGGCAAATATTTCTCTAAACATTTTCTAATCCCCCTTAAATCCCTATATCCTTTAAGATTTGGGTGCAGGAGGTTGAGGAAACTCTATTCTAATATATTCTACTATTCTGCAAGATGTTTCTAACAAAAGAATTCAGAGAGAAGTTACCTCAACTAGAGCCCCAAAGTCCCACTATGTAATCTAGCACTTCATTAAGAAAAGCTTTAGAAAAAAAGGCTGCTAGCACTGAGAGTTGAGTATAGGACAGAGACAAGTGCCCAAAGAGTAACCATGAAGCATTTTCAGAAGAAAAATGATGGAAAGTATCAGATAAAAAAAACCAAGTTTGACTGTAAGTAAACACCCTGTAACATTGTGAGATTTGCCAAATATTAAGGAATGGCATGCTAGTACTGATATGAAATCAGACTCACTCCCCCACACTACGATGGAGGTTACATATGCTGAGCCAAATTCCACACTTTGAATACTCACGGGCAACTCCCACAACTTAGCCGCATCAACTACTGCCAAATGACTTAAGCTTATTCATAATTACATATGGCCAAAACATTAAGAGCCAAATTCCACCCTTATGCAATTCCCATTGAAAGCAGCGTCCATTGCAGGTGCATGGTTGAGGGCAGAATTGGGCTGTCCAGTTGTAGATGGGCCAGTGCAGCTACACTCATAGAGGTAAATGTCTCTGTTAGTATTTGGTGTGTGAGGTTTTATGAAGAGGCGGAAGCAGTTCTTAAAGCTGTATTCATTATCCGGATCCTTTTCCACTGAGAGGAACTATGTATCGTAGTTCTGCAGCTTTTTTAATGGCCTGTTCTTACAGCCAGGTTTTTTTAGGATGAGAATCTGATTAACCAGTAGTAAGAATCTGCTTAAACCTTTCATCGACAATTAACAGAACAGATTCTGCTACTCTAACCAAGTCTTTTAGATTGCAAAAAACTTGCACTTGCCTTGTCCTTGTGCTTTTTAAAAGGGGAAAACTGAAGCACAAAATGCATTGCTGGTTTATCTTATATCATGTTAACAGCATAGCAAAGGTGGAACTACAGCCCCGTTTTTTTAGTCTCTCAGCTCTATGCTCTAACTCCTGGAAGGCAGTCCCTTACTAATGCTTTCCTAAAAGCATTTGTGAATTTTACTGCATCCTCACTGCAAATGTACATACCAGATAAAAAAAAGTATTTGCTCTATTAGTAATGATGAAATCTTAAAGCATTTTCCGCAACACAAGTACTGTTGTTTTAAATTAAATCAAGCAGTGCCCTATAAAAAGCAGACGAGTGAAATTATTGTTTATCATTGCAATTAGCAACGAACTGACCAAAATAACCGGAGATCTTGGGGTGCCTGTAGAGGTGCTGTGAGGCACTGTAATTACAGTGCATCAGAGCAGACTCGATTCATCAAGTCTGCTAAAGTGTGGTAATTACTGCGCTCCAGCCAGCCTCTGCAACTTGTGCATCAGTGTCCTCATGTTTCAAAATGGCAGTGGTGGCACTTGAACTAAAGCTTAAATGAGCTTTAGTTCAAGCACCTCCACAGCCATTCTGAAGCACAGGGACAGTGATACACGAGATGCTGTTGTGCTTTAATCAGAGCAACTCTCAGAGCCTAAAGAATCCCCCCAGTCTCTGGAGTATGTATAAAAATGCCCTTGGGGCCTGATGCCACAACTACTATTCCTATTTACGTGCTGTATCAGTTGCTCAGCAGTAGTAATACATTGCTAGCCAGTGCAGTAATGCCCCAAGAACTGTCAGGCACAATCTCTTTAACATAAAGCACAAACAGCACTAAAAGTTACAGCACTAGCATAGGAATGTAAAGCATTAGGCAGATATTTTGCCAGGTATTAGAACAAATCGCATCAATCTGATTTTACATTAATTGTATAGAAAGAGTAAAAAAAAAAAATGCCTTCTCAGTGCTAAACTTATTAATGTTACTGAGTGTGAATAAGAAGGGCAATCTGCATTATTGACATTTACCTTGTATAGGAAATCTGTGCAGAATGCAGAGAAAAGAGTCAAATCAATTCTTAATATTTCTATCCTTCTGTAATCTAGTTCCCAATATTCACTCCTGTGCAGGAGACAAGCTCAAGATCATAAAAAACTTAAATCATAATTAATAAAATTTAGACTTTGGGCCAGCCCTTCGTGTAAACTAATTTCACCCTGGGAAATTCAAGGAGTAGGAACCTCAAAGAATGAAGGCGATGAGAAACATGTGATGAAAGACAAGGACAGAGGAAGAAAGCCAGGCACAGGTCTTCTCACCTTTGCTTTTCTAAGTACATGGCCTCGACAAGGAGAATTACTTGATGAGGAAGGTCTCTTCAGAGCTGCTGCACTATTCACAGGTACTGAGCATTCAGTATCACTTGTATCACAACTGGAGATAGGGGAGTTTTCCATAGTTCGGTGCTTGAATATTGGAGACTGAAAGATTGAAAATAACTTAGGTGAAGTTTCTTTAAAATATTCATATAAAAAACCCTCAGTATTTACCAAAGTATAGGACTGCAGAAAAATGACAAGAACAGTTTTAAAGCTAAGAAAATTACACTGACAGCCTTTTCTAAAAATGAAGCCCTCATCATGATGGTAAAAGTTACTTCCTGAATGACAGCTGCTTCAGTTTCCTCTCAATGACTTAACAGCACTAGTGACTGGGTGATTCATGAAGCTGAATCAATAAGTTTGTCCATATTAACCCTTGCAAAATTGATGGGCTATTCAATTTTGGTGGTTCAGGAACTGAGTCTGGGTTAAATGTTCACATAGCTCTGAGGTGAAATGGGGCATCATTATCATCATATGTTGCTTATCATTCCATATGTATCAACTCAATTTCACTGTAGAAGAGGACAGTAGATGTGGGCAAGAACCAGTAATAAATAAGAAACCACTTTGGGTGCTTTAATTTCATAATTTGTTTTACAGCAGAGATCTGGCTTTGCAAGATGTTTTGCACCTCCACTTCTTGTTTCATGAGAGTTGAGAGCACAAAACATCTCATGCTGAAATAGTTCTTCCGTGAACTTACCTGTGGGCTTGAGGTTCCTGATTTGGGCTCAATGGCCAATCCTAGTGTAATGCCTCCAGCCAAGGCTTTCTTCAAGCTCTCTTTCACCTCAGTCAGTTCTAACTCCAAATTGACACGTTCACTCTCCTTCAGCTTACATTCCTCTTCCAACTTCTTTAACTTATCTTCAAGAATCACTTGGGTTTTCCTGCCTGCCATTCACAGAGTTGGTGTTATTCCAACAGCCGGCCAAAACGGACAGACTCAGCTGTAAATAGTGCTCATTTTCATTTCAAAAGAGGGAACAAAAACTAAAATTACTGGCTTCCCCAAATGCTACTCAATATGGAAGATTTCAGCCTCAGTCAAATAAAATACTTAGTGCCTTTTGGATGAGGGTGTGGGGGGATGGACGGAGGTTTTCCTGTGGCAACTGCAAAGTTATTTTTCAATAGATCTGTGGGTTTTAAAAAAGTGCAAGCAGCCAATGATAACAACAGTGTATTTACACTGGCTCTACTACCATTTCTGGCACTGGATTAGTATGTTTTGCATTGATTGGACAAATAGCACAAAGATATTCTCATTTCAGTTACATTCTACTTCATATATTTTTGCATTCAAAATTAACCATCAAAATATAGCAAACAGTTTTGACTTTTTAAACGTGCTCAGTAGAAGGAAATAATTTAGTTCACTTAACCAGCATTTGCAGAGTGCATGAGCCTAGAGCAAGAAAGAACCTCCTACCAGCATTGACTTCAATGGCAGCTCGTAAGTCTTTCCTTTCTTTTCGGAGTTGGGCCAACCTATTCCGCAGAGCTTCTTTCCTCTTTAATAACTCCTCCTCCTTACTTTGTAACCTCTTTGCATCTGCTTCCACCCGGTTCTTGCCATATTTGTATTGATCAGCATCTACACAAAATATTAAAATGTAACTGCTTATTTTATGTGATAAATTGCCCTCTGCATGGCTCCGGATTCAAAGTATGCTACTTCAAAGAATGCCAAACAAATTTTTCAGATAAAACCCCCATCCCCGAATTTCTTGTTCTCAACTTTGTGACTCTCACCCATCTTTGATTACAATGTGTGCATGTCTTTGATCTTCCTCCAAGAGTTCAGTTTGCTTAATATCTTAACTGCTTTAGAAAAAGTAAGTAATAAATCAACTCTCTACCCATCTCTTCAACCAATCCATAAAACTTTAAAGTTTGAAAATAAGAGTAAATTTTTTTCTTTTCACTGGCGTTTCCAATATTTCCTGCTTCAGCACAGTTGCTGAAATAATCCAAGACAGATTTGTTCTCTAGATACACCTGGAAGAGACGGAAATGAAAATACCAGACACTTTACAAGAAACTCTAAGGATTCCAGGCTGTATAGCGTACAGAACAGGTTCTGATAAGCATGTCTGCGTTCCATCAGTTTACACCGGACTGAAAAAAAACCCTTAAAAGCAGACTTGTTTTTTTAACTGAATGGTGAAGTTGGAAAAAGGACAATTTCCCGTTGATGCCAATACTCCATGTCCCAATGGAAGGGTTGATGTTTCTGGGCATGTGCCTTTTCTTTTCTGAAAGTGAAGTATGGGAAAATCAGATTAAATGGGATGTGTCCTCTCTCTCTCACCTAGTCCAGAAAATTTGTTTTAAGATCCTAGATCCTCTGTAGGATTCCCTTCATTGAGAAACATGGGTTAGACATGCAAACACCTTCTGGGCTCAACAAACCTTTTGGGCTTTGACAAACTGTCAAAGTATTTTGTAGCCATTCAAATTTAGAGTAGGCAAGCAGACTTAATTAAATTGCAATTGTTGTTAATTTTAATAGGATACAATTAAATGTCTACAAAATCCCAATAGTTTCATATTGTCATATCAATTAGCATGTATACCGCAGTAGCACTTAATAGGTCCTAACCAGGTTGTGGTCCTTGGGCTACAATAGACTGTGGAACGAAAAAGGTATTAACAGAAACTTCAAACTAAAACTGCTGAATTTAAAGGACTTGGTAAACTGTTCTTTAGCTGAAATAGCTCTTTCCCCTCCCTAGTGTTTACTTTTCTGATGTATTTATGGAGCAAAGATATCCACTCTTAGACTCTGTTTTGCTAGACGAAATGAATCAAACTTGTTTTAGTTTCCTCTCAGAAGAGCACTTCGCCATTTCTCTGAACCTGTTCCAGTTTCAATTTGCCTTTCTGAGTATGTATGACCAGAACTGGACACATTATTCCAGAAGAGATCTAACCTTTACTATGTCTCACTTTAGTGGAAATACCTTACTTGATACAGCCTAGGTGTATATTTGCCTTATGCCTACATTATTGTAAGCACTCAGAGTTATCTTTGGATTGCCCACATATTTTTTCTCTCTGGTGTTTTCCAGCTGGTGAGTCTTCCACTTATTGCAGGAATTCTTATCTAAAGTGGAAGACCTTAGACTTTATCATCATCTCATAAATACATATAGACTGGAAGTTTGAAGAACGTAGCTAATCAGAATAAGGAATGAGGTTCCAGAATGGCCTTCTAGCCAGAGTAGTGGAGGCAGAAACCTGACTAGTTTTTAAGCTGAATTTGATATATTTATGGGAAAGGATTTATAATGTTCTTGTCCTGACAGCAGGGGATTGGATTCAGTGATTCATGAGGCCTTTTTTAGTCCAGTGTTTCCTATATCAGGAGAACATCCCATTTTGATTATTTCAGCCCTCATGGTCATCCAATTATTGTTGCACGCTAAGAGTCAGAAATACATAGCCTGCAGAGCCAGCGGACTTTGGCAGCATGTCAGTGGCAGGGATTGGGAGAGAGTTCACCCATTCACAGCTGGGGGTCAGGGACAAGCAGAGAAAAGCAGTGGCTGGATCTAAGCCACGTAGTTCTAACCTGCAGCTCCAAAACCATGCCCACAGTGTTGTATGCTATTACAATCCTCCTCAGTATTAACAATGTCTCACAACTATGTGTCATCAGTAATTTAATTAGTGCTCTTCTGCTTTTCACACCAAAGTCATTAATATAAACATAAACTAAGATAGAATTCATCAAGGATCAGTTGGGAAATCCATTAGGAACTTTCCTCTCGTCCAGTATTGTTTTAGCACTATCCATGGTCATCACCAGGCTCTAGCCCACCTTCCAGTTCTTGTAATTGTCCCCATCTACTCCGGTCTCCCTACTAATTTACCAAAGGGCATTGTATCAGATAGCTTACTGACATTCACATAGGTTAGATCTACTGTATTTCCTTTTCTAGGAAAATAGATATCTTCTCAAAGATACCAAGCTTGTCTGGCACCATCTACCTTTGAAACATATATGATAAATGTTATCCCATTTCCCATTAGTCTCTATGTCTTTTATTCTTTTCTCCAAAATTTGTTCTAATAAGCCTTTTTTCTAACAGGTGTATAGTCACCCAAATCAATTGTATGCCCCTGTCCCCTTTTTTGTACATCGCCATCCTTGTTGAAAACATGCAAATTATTTAGTGAGCTTTTGGATGACATCAATATCTCTGCTTCATCCTCACTGCACAGCACTCCCACTTCTTTCCAAATTCTCTTTTATTTAAATACCTGAACAACCTTTTCTGTTTAATTTCCTTTTCATGGTCTAACTCAGCTTGTCTTCTGGCAGGTCTCAATTCCCGGACCTCTCAGATACAGTATTCTCCACTCAGCAATCTTTTCTTTCCCCATTTCTTTTTATTTTCTTATTTTTCCAGTGATGGCTCCTCCAAGAGCCTTTATAAATAAAGTCTGGAGCCCATCCATACAAGTTCCTTCCTCTAGCATGGTATACAAATTACTACAGGTAAAAGTACTCTGGAACCTTGAATGTAAAGAATATTCAAGCTGGCATATTCCTGAACATCTTTGAGCTATATACTCCAGTTCACTTCACAAACTGATTCCCTTAGTTCATGGGTGGGCAAAATATGGCCTGTGGACTGGATCTGGCCCACCAACTGCTTGGATCTAGCCTGCAGCTGCCCTCACAGCAATCTGCGTGGGACTGAGCCCCACCCAGGGCAGCTAGCACTGTTCTCCTCCCGTGCCCACCGACCCGTTCCTGGCTAGCATGCACAGCTCCCAGCAGGGCTGCTCCCAGTACAGCTGCAGCTGCCTAGGTATTCCCTTTGCCTTAAGCGGTGGCTCTTCCTCCTGCTCCTGCTGCACCACTCCAGGCAGGGAGGCAGCTTTAGCTGGGTGGCTCCTGCCTCAGCATGCAGGGCTCCAGCTCCAGGATGACTTCCACCCACTCTGCTGGGTTGCGTGTGCTGGCTGGGAATGGGGCCAGCAAGAGCAGGTGGAAGCACAACACTGGCTGCCCCAGTAGGGAGCGGGTGGTGCTCAGTCCCATCCCATGTGGGGCACTGCATGTGCTCCCTGCCCCCTCCTGCCTCCCCTCACCCCAGCCGGCTCCCAGAACCTAGCACCCAGGCAGCCCCTGCCCCCTCCACCACATGCATGTACCCCCCCACACACACATTACACACCTCCTCCCACACGCAGGGGCGTGTAGAAAACAGATTGTGGCTCTGCTCTGGGTCCCAGCCCCACACATCCCTGCCTGCAGAACTGGGGCTCTGCCCCAGCCCCACACTGTCTCTGCCCTGAGATCCTGAGGTCTCAATGAAGTTGCTCAATGGAGCTGCATGGGCAGGGTGTGTGGCTCCGTGGGTGGGGAGCTGCCTCCGGGATTGGGATCCTGGGGCAGTGGCAGTGCAGGGCCAGGGCCCGGAGCCCAGGGCAGAGCTGTGATCTGTTTCCTGCATGCCCCTCCCCACAAAACCTGTGCCCATTACAGGGGTGTGTGGGCAGTGGGCCCTGCATTGTCACTGTCTCATGACCCCGCCACATATCCTGGCCTTACCCATCCATCCTGCTCCCAAACACTGCTTCCACCCACCCAGACACAGCCCCATCTCCCATAGGGAGTTTTGGTGAGGTGTTGGGAGGGTGGGAAGTGGGGTGCCGACCCAGCCCTTGACAACTCATCATTTAACTTACAACAAACCACCTCATCATCATCATCATCTGCTCTGATGACCTGATCTTATATAACCCTATTACTATTTACCAAAACCAAATCTAAAATAGCATTGCATCTTGTTAATTCAGTGACTGTTTGGTGAAAAAATCTGTCAGCTATCGTATCCAGAAATATATGGCCCTAATTTTTATAATCAGAATTTGTTTTCCATGCTATATCTGGAAAGCTGAAGATTTCCATGACAACACAATTCCAGTAGTATTTTTCTTTTTAATGACATTGCAGAAATCTCTATCTATATAAAGATCTCTAAATCTAGAGACGATTGCAGGCTCCCATCATTACCTTTGTGAAATCTCTTTTACTTGCCTTCCCTAAAGTGATTTTAACCCTAAGAGATTCTGTTTTATTCATACTATGCATTCTAATGTCTTTACATTTATTAACATGCACGGCTACACCAATGCCTACATTTTTTATCTTTCTTGAAGAATTGCCCTTTAAGTCATGTTCTAGTCATGACATCATTCCATCCTTGTACCTTATCCCTATAATAACTTATTTCACACATCCTACACCAGTAGTTCTCTTTCCTTTTGGTGCTCCAGCTCCTTGCATTAGCATACAAACATTCCAGTTATTTCTTACTGGCCATGCCAGCTTTCCTACCTGACAGCTATTTATGACTTATACTTTCTTTCTCCTTGCTGTGCACTGACCTAAAACTTGGCACATACCATAAGTCTATGCAACATTTTTCTGCATATCTTAGTTTCAAATTCTATCTATCATCTATACAAGCTTCAGTCGCAGAAAAATCAGCATCCAAGGTACTTAACTGTTACAAAAAATTCTCTTTATATGAGTACTTCCCAGCGGTCAAACATCCAAAAACCTCTCTCAACACTGATCTTTGAGCCAAGTGTTGATCTTTCTTTCTCTTGTCATGCCTTCATCTTCCTCCCCATGAACCAAAAGACATTTCCTGAGATCACCTGAAGTTCCAGTTGTTTTCCTTAGCTTGGCATCCTTCCATTGCAGTAGGAACCTGGAAAGGTCATTTGTCCCAACATGAAGGAAAACAAACCTGGATTCTTTCCTGTTCCTAACTGAATACTTTTCAGCCTCCAGAACGCATTTCATATTATTGTTCCTGGCAGAGACCACACCCTTCTGTACTGTGGATCCACCTTGGTGATGGATTGATTCACCTGAATATAAACCTGCCTCTTCTTGTTTTCTTTGCCAGTAAATAATACTGTCAACTGTTCTCTCTCAAAAACTCCTATATATCTTCCTTGTCCCTCATCAGACTCTGGGCACTGATAGATGTGCAGCTCTCTGCTCTAACTCATGGCGCTTCACAGAAGCAGCTATGAACTTCTATCAGGGCACAGCTGTAAAGCACTTTCAAGGGGGCAATCGTGTGGCAAATGTCACTTCTGTCAGGGCCCTCTGGTCCTTGGCTTTCTCAATCACCTCTTCCTCTCACTTTGGGACTAGTTGCTGTCCTTCTCAGCCACCCCATCTTGTCTGACTACTTCTTTCCTTTATACTACAGTGCAGCAAAACCCATTCTTGAATTCTGTTTCTCCTCAGCTGGCAGATCTCCTCTGTACTGTCCTCAGGGTCACGTGTTTCCATGGGACATCCTCCTTGCCTAGTGATACATTCTACAATCTCCCTGGTTGACAAGTATCTACATATGTTCTTCCTTAGGGAATACCAGATCAGATTTTTAGATAGCTCATTTCAGGGCAAAACAAAGTTATTACTTCTTTGGCCACCATTAGATGTCACCAAAGTTAATAAAAAAGTCATAGCATTCCAGAAGAAAGTGCATGGGCAATGGGATGAATGTTAATACTATAGTCTGAGAAAACTGGATTTTAGTGTTAAATATTGTTTACACATTGATTTCCTAGCCTCGCTATTAACTTTTAAAAAACTATTTACTGAGTATTTTAAAACATGTACTCAAAAATCTTCATATCCATTTTCACCAATTTAAAAAGGTAACAGGAAATGAACACAAAGAAGGACAAACATGTGTTTAGAAACATATAGAACACATGCACACAAAAGAGGAAGATGCCAGATGTATTCATTTTTTGTGTTAATAGGAAATGTTCATTTTCGATCCAATTTCAATTTTTGGTTGGAGGGACCCACAAAATCTGTTTAAATATTCTCTTAGGTTTTAGAAACTTCTGAATGGATGGTACTGTATAATTAACACTACATAAATTAAGTTTTACCATATAAATGATGAACAAAATATAAATTACCTTTCAAAATGTATTTCTATAGGATTCCAAGTACCTCTTCAAAAATGTATGTCAGTCACCAATAAGCTACTAATGAGCTATGGGCAGGATTCTATTTCATTTTGTGTACCTAATGGCATTTACCCAGCTGCATATGTGCATATACTGAACATGCCCCGTAGCTGATGCACTGGCGGGGCAGGCATGTGGCTATGTAAACAGATGCCTGAGTGTAAGTCCCAGAAAAATGAAGAGGACAGTGCCATGTTTTAGCCCCAGTAACTGAGTGATTACAGTACTTGTCCAGGAAGCAGGAAACCTCCTCTGTATCTAACATTCATTAGACATGCATTATTTTCTGGCTCCAATTTTGTGACTTGTATTTCCACGGTAGTTGTTCATAAATAGTTATAGACCTGCTAGTTCAGTACATGGGCAGTACATGCACACACATGCCTGCTTCCTTATATTTTCACATTACAGGGGTAATAGAATCTCAAACTTTTTGTAAGTGGCAAAAAGGCACTTACATGACTGGAAAACTACCATTTAGGTATACAAAAAATAACAGAATTCTGCTCTGTTCTAAAAATCCTCAAGGGTGGGATAATACGCACTTATGTATTTATACAGCTCCAAGCACAAAGCTGTGTTCAGCTTATAAATGCACATTTTAACAGAATGATAATCAGAGAGCAGGACTACGATTTGATTTAAAATTTTTGTACATGTTCTTCAGTAGAGCTACTTGGTTGCTCGGGTTTAATTCAAATCACATTGAAGTCTTTAGTCTGATTTGATTTTTAAAAATTATTAAGAAACTGAGAGAAGAACTATGCTGGTGTTTTACTTGCTCATTAGATGAAAAGATATGTCATGCATCCTAGTGTCTGAAAACCTAGACAAATGTGTTTACACCAGAGTAACTGGCCTTTATACTAGTGACAAAGGGAGCAGACATACAATATACAGCCTATACTACCATAACTTACTTGAAGCTGGTGTAGAAATATACCAAGAAAAATCAGGGGTAAATCTGAACTGGTATAAATTATGCTAGTGCAGGGATAGACAACTTGTGGCATGGCTGCAACATGGTATGGGCAGCCTGTGTGGGATACATGGCAGATGGGAGAGGAGATAGACAGTGCAGTGGCAGATAGCAGTAAGAAGAACAGCAGATCAGGCAGGAAGCACAGGGTAGAGAGTAGAGAGCACAGCAGCAGATCTGGTAGGGAACACAAGGCAGGGAGCAGAAAGCAGAGTGGCAGATAGGGCAGGAGAAGGGGATTGGAGTGGCATTTGGGGAGGGCACAGTGTTTAATTTGTGACACTCCACCACTGCACTAGTGTCTGTTCTTTCTGTAGCTAAGTGAGGTAGCCACTTCTTCAAGGCAGTATATTACCTACCCCCAACATAAAGTGGACATTGTAATAATTACCTGTTATTTACACTACCCTGAGACAGATGTACGTATGTCTGTGCTGGACCCCAATGTCATTTGTGTCACTGTAAAAGACTGATACATATCACGCTAGTGTAAATAGCGTGTGTTCAGGCCCTAAATTAACAAAGTACAATAATAAAGAAATGTACTTACTAGATGCTGTACGTTTCACACATGAAACTAATTCAGATTTCTTTGGTTGGTTGTTTAAAACTCTCCCTTTTCCTGTGACACCATTTGCAGTTGCAGGGGGTTTCTTGCTTTTGAACTGTTTGAAAACAAAAAAAAAGGATGCAATGGTAGCTATTGTTGTTCTGTTAATGCCACAATCACTCTGTTTAATCAAGGACAACCTCTGAAAGTGTTATTGAAAGCTCCTTGCCTTACAGACAGTTGTCCACATGCTTAATTGATTCTGCTGGAGACAGTTTCCCGTAGAGATTTCATTATTGATAACTACCTATTCAGTAAGATCCAAGACTGGGAAAATAGTAGGATTTGTAAGAGAAGTGCTGGCTCTCTGTCTCTCTTCTCCCAAATGTGGTGGTATCCCATTTTCTGAATCATTCAAAACTCTGATGCATATTATTGTAAGAAGCATGCTGGATGCAGAGAACTGCTACATTAGGACAATTTTATATAGAGAGAGCTCTTTGGAAACATAGCATTAACACCAGTTAATCTTATACTTATCACAAGAAGTTGTAAAGCCATCAGTCTTGGTCAGTGACAAGCAGAATGCAATTTTCCACTCTGTTTCTTTTCCACTCTGTATATTATGTAATCTTTATTGCATATACTACATAAAAATTGTATTGTGCTGGTATTTGGGAGTTATTTCAAAACTATATATATAATACAGACTCTTAATTTTATCCATGAGGAATTAATAGACTGATTTTTCTATGGCACCTCTACCAACTGACTTTCAAAGTCCACTCATTGCAAAAAGGCACAGTTGAGGAGGTGCTTGCACTGCACCTTGTAAGTGGCTGGCTCACACTGATTACCAAAGGAAACAAGTTTCAGAACCAGGGATCTTTGCTGAAAATGCTCTGTTGCTTGTCTCTGGGAAGTAAACCATGTGGGATAGAAAAAAGGAGAATTCAGAGAACATATGATGTGGCAGTTCCTTGAAGCACATATTCTGCTTTTTTTAAATATGTGAATAATAAAGTATGGACTGGCAGTGAAGAGCAATATACTATTATTATTACACTCTATTTAATCCAAGAACAGATAAACATTAATCCAAATTCCTGAAATGTACTGCTCAGATCTCAGATCTACCTCAGATTGTGACACTTTATTTATTATATATATATAATATTTTATATATTAAATACATTATATAATATATTTATATAATATATAATGTAATTAGAGAGAGAGAGAGAGAGAGAGAGAGAGAGATATATAGAGAGAGAGAGAGAGAGAGAGAGAGAGAGAGAGAGAGAAATAAGTTTAGAGCTTTCATAAAACTAAGCCACACATAATCAGGTGTCTAACATAATATTTCAGGTGCATCAAACAAGTAAAAGACTATCTTAATGTAATCATTCCCTTTAAATTAGGCTGGGAGTTGTATGCCATCGTCCTTTGCAAGGGATTCATATTTGATAACATGACTGTTTGAGGTTTAGGTCTTATGATTTCTCTGGGGTTTTTTTGGTTTTTTGTTTGTTTGTTTGGTTTTTTTTTTTTTGAGACTCAGAGAACAGAAGAAAGTAGCAGTAGATTTAGTTAAATATAGTTATCGTTTATAGTCACAGTAAATAATATAGCACTTAAAATGTATTGCAGTTTATCCAGTAACAAATAAACTAGGTCCAAATCTTCAAAAGACGGGGCAGAGAAATTTGTACAAGGAACTTTCCTATGTACAAACTTTTAACTCACAGCTATAGGGGAAGAATGTGTGTGAATAAGCACCATTTTATACATGCAAGTATACATACTTTATACACCACTTAAAAAGTGGTTCATACTCCAGCTTTAAGGACACGGGCTTTTATTTTTTAGCTGTCATTCCACGTATAAAATACTTTTTTTCCTGTGTTATAATGGCCAGGGGAAAATGCTGTATCTTCTGTGACAGTGGCAAACTGTGCTGAAACCTCTGGTGGGAAATATGTTTTTGTCAAGTGAAAGACAGCGGGCGGCCTGTTGTCGTACATGTACTGTTCTGTTTACTGTGATTGGCTCGAACATGGAAAGCACCAAGAACATGCCAGGCAAACAACTAGAGAGAGAAGAGAAGACAACACATCCACCTCAGAATGTGCAGTCTAGGTGAAGCTTTTTTTACTTATAGTGAGCCCATTTATGTGCAAGTAGTCTACTGATAAAACCAAATCACTGAAGTAGCTTAAGATAAATAACCCATGCACCAAGTAAACAGAATCAGAATATAAAGCTTTGCCACGGTATTAAACGTTGCAGTACCTGAGAGACAGATCCCCTCCCCACAGCAGAGGTGTTAGTGATAGACTGAGCAGAAGACAGACTGGATGAAACAGGGTATTTGTAATGGTTAGAGGATAGTTTGTCAGTAGATAACCTATTGGCTTTTCTGTCAGCTGGTGGATAGCGTGCAAAGATTTTCGGAGACGGCAAGTTATCGTACAGGCCTGCGTTATCATAAAGCATTTCTTCTCCGATGTTTCTGTTACGAGAAGTAGGAAAGCCATCTTCTGGTTCCCACTGCAACACACATACTTGTGTCGTTAGTAAACAAACCATCATGCAGAGCCGAAGCAAAATTCAAACATTAGTGAGAGCCACAACTTTTACCTTACATTTGAGCCAAAGACTAGAAAGAAATGGGTGGCTATGGTATATTAGATGTCTGGGGTAGTGAAGCATTGTGTTACCTGCCTGATTACCTGGAACCCTTTGTGTTTTCTGTTGAATGCAGGAATTGGTAATATTATCTCTTGCACTATTTTTATGATATGCCTTTTCATAGGGGTCTGGATATGCAAAGACATATATAATACTTCCTTGAATTAGATACAACAATAGGGGATATTTGTGAATAATGGAGATGAAACTGCAAGCTAATGACTAATACCATTTACAAATAATTTCTTAGCCTAACAGAGTAACCCATGGTTTCAAGCTTGATAACTGAGAGAGCCAAGAGTTTTTCTCAAGGCCATGTATCCTTCCAGTAACCATCAGCTGCTGTAGCACTTGTGTTACATTTTATTTGCTGGAAAATTATTATTCTGGGCTTTCTAAAATAGCTACAAACCATTTCCTCTTTTTTCATAATGGAAAGATTAATATTAATAACTTGATGATTCATTCATTTAATCTTTAAAGAAACAAGGGGTCTGGATGCCAAATATTTTTTCTTAATTCACCCTGGCTGAGAGTGCAAGCCTCATATAAAGGGCATATCAAGTACATCCAAGAGCTACATATACACCTACTCACCACACACTGTGTTGTGAGCTGTTCCTTGGAGAAATTTTTCTACTAGTTCTCTGATGTATCACAACATTACAGAACACAGTACTTGTTTGTGCTTTAAATATTTGTACAGCTTTCAGATTTACATATCAACAAGGCTCTTAAGAAGCTGTCCATTAGGACTGTGTGAACCTTTGGTTGCTGATTCAGCAGCTGAATCTCCAAACCCAAATAGAATCAGGAGACCCATTAATCTCTCCGAATCAAATCAGAAGCCTCCGATTCAGAGAGATTTGATGATTAGGACACAGACACAGCTTTATATGGTTTTTCTATATACCTCAAGGTGAATGCCGAGATGGTGGGGTAGATGGAACGTCTCACGGGAGCATGGCGGGGGGGCAGAGGAGTCCCCCAGCAGACCCCCCCTCTCCCCCTGCTCGGTAACTGGTGCCTCCTAAATACTTCCGGTCCACTTCAGGGTCCACCACCGAGCATGCGGGGGTCCCCCCTATGCTCCTGTGGAATGCTCCACCTGCCCCAGCACTGCAGCATTCAAAAGCCGAGCCTGGTATCTCGAGGTATGTAAAAAAAAACATTTAAAGCTGTGTCTATGGCCAAATCGCTGATTCTCCAGCGCAGAATCAAATCTTGAGATTCGGATTCAGCTGAATCAAATCAGGACAGTGGTCCGAATCAATTCACTGAATCACTGTCCCCCACATTGGGCCAAATCCCAATCAAATACAGCCCGCTTTGCACACCCCTACTGTCCATGTGAGGGACTGAATTTAGGTGCAGCAGGGTGTCACTATGGGCAAATATGATTTTTCACTTCCTGCATTTGCACAAGGCTTATACAGACAAAAAGGGAAAATGGCTTTTTTCATAAGGGCCTCTTTTGGGTTGACTCGAACAACTGTCATAAAAAGCTTACACTTGGGGACAGGTCATACCTCTGTGGTGCTATCAAGGGAGTAAGTGAGCAAAGAAGCCTTGTCACAGCCTTTTCTGATACTTAAATATGCAATACATATATAATACAAGGGCTGGCAAAATTAAGCCCTTGGTTTTGCCTTGACCTAATGAGTTTTTTTAAAAATTCAAGGTTTTATTAATGGATTTTGGCACCAAATGATCAACAGGCAACTATTTGTATAAATATATGTTGGCTCATGTACAGGTTAATTTAAACAATATGTCCCACGCCCCCAGTACTTCATAAATGAGAGAGAGGTTTTGTGGTTCCTAATCCGAAGGAGTACTTGAGTTCATTTGGAATCTGCCCAATAGTGCTCAATTAGATAATACAGCTTTCAGATGTCCTTGCATTCAACACATGCAAGCCATTTGTCTGTACAAATTAAATTCTTACCGATCCATTTATGCAGGGAACATCATCGTAATGAAGTGCCATTCCACTGGGACATGCGTAGCCATTGGCAGTGCTTCCCCGGTATGGATTAGTAGTTATAACACGTCTGTTCATAAAGCTACATAAAAATAATAGTAAAAGCCAGCTGTTTCAGTCTTATTCTGACAATTCAATGGTCATTTGCCAATATCCACCTACTCTAGAAGCATATAGCTTTTTCATGACATTAAAGTGGCAGGTAGTTTTGCTTCTTCTATAACCTTCATGAAAGTTCAAGTATTGTATTCCCACTTAGATGCTGACATACAATATCACAACATATGTTTCTATACTGTTTTCATACAGTGAGGTGCTGGACTGGATGTATGCCAGGATGGCAACAGCTGTAGCTATTCTGTTGGTGTTGTTACATGGGAGCCTACTGATATAAGTAACTCAGCAGTTTGTTACGCAACACTAAAAGTTTTACTAAACATCATAGTTATGTTCTTGAAAAATGCAACTAAGCGAAACGATGTTAAGCAAATCCAATTATGTCACAGTAGTTACCTACTAGCAGGTGGCAGCCAAACAATGTCATAACCGAACATTGCATGACTTCAAACACTTATGCTCTCTAATAGATGAGCAACATAATAAGGAAATATCATTAACCAGGATGACATTAAGTGAGAAGTACTTGTATCTAAATAGGACACCATGAAGTAGTTTGAAGAAGTGGCACAGCACACTGGAGTTTTAGGAAACAAGGAAACCCTGCAAAATGTTCTGTGTAAGTGATATCTATTGATGGTCAATTTGTTAAAAAAAAAAAAAAAAAAAAAGCATACATCTGAAAAGGAAATTTTTCTTGAAAGCTTTTTGGTTCTGGCAACATTATTGATTGTCTAAAAATGTTCATCCATATTTTAAAAATATTTTGGTGCTTTAATCTACTATAAATTCCACTCTCTTCTATTTTTTTTTTAACAATATTTTCAATTTTGGTTTTGCCACAACAGAACTTTAGAGTTCACTAGAGGCCGTGATGTGACATGTTTTCCTGTCTCTGTAACTCTACAAATATGCATATTTTCTAGTATTCTATTTTTGTAGGATTCTATAAATACTTGATGCACTCACTCTTGTTCCATCTCACACAGAAATCTCTGTGAATACTTTCAATATATTTTTAATTAGATCATGAAGGAATAAAATTTCAACTAACTTAACTGACTCATTCATGCAGAACACAATTGATTTTAATGGACCCACTGGGAACAAACACATCCCCATGGAAAGCTTGCAGGTTTAGATCCCAAATTGCAGTAAGAGCAATTTGCTTTCACAAGCAAAACCTTAAACAGAACCAGGAACACAATGAGATTCCAAAACATTTTTTAGACTCAAATACGTAAAGAAAGAGAAGGAGAAAATAAAGAGACCCATCCAGAAGAACAGAACTATTCAACTTCTGAAGCTGAGATCCATGAAATATGATAAAGCCTTATGAGAAAGAGGAGTGAGTTTTTTGTAGTCCTGGCCAGAAAACAAGAATTCCACAGTTTCAACATTTATTTCTATTCTGCTTGGAACAAAACCCTGAACTATTTGTCTTGTTGCTCAGACAAAGACACACACCTCACTCCAGAATAACTTATCCGGATGTGGTTCAAGTCCCTATTATGACACATGGATAAATCTGTTTGATTCATGCATGAACTAGAACTCTGCATCTCTCAAGTGCCCTCCTTTTTCCTAATTTTTGTGGCCCAACAAATGTTTTTAGTATTCATACTAAATAGAACAGTCTTAAAAGATACTGAAAGAGAGAGAAAGGGACTAAATCTTCTATTTAGTCTTTAGGGCACCCATCCTGGAGGTGGAAGACCCACATTCAAGTCTTCCATTCAGCAATAAGGAAAAATGTAGTTTATACACAGATTTAAATCATATTAGCTAATCACTGTCAGCATTTAGTTCAAGCACAGGCAATCCCCGGCCTGGGTGCCAGAGCATGGCACACAAAGGCATTTTGCTTGGCATGCGTGCCTCAGGGTGGATGATGGGAAGGGGCCCGGGGCTGAGCTGCCACAAGGACCGCGCCTCTTGCAGGTCCCCCAGTGCCCACCCCTGGGACGCCAACATCTTACAGTCAAGGTTGTGGGTGTTTTTGGCACTCTGCTCAAAAATGTTGCTGATCCCTGATTTAGGTCCTGATTCCATAACGTACCAAGCATTCTCAATTCCCACCTAATTCAGTGGGAAGTTGGAGGCATTCAATGCATTGTAGGATTCAGTCTTGGGACTATAAAACACACAGCAAGAATCATGGCAAGTTGTAAAGTAACTGAGAAATTAATTGGGGTAGAAAAGTATGTTTTCAAGTATTCTAACGTACATCGTTTTGATTGTCACTAAAAACCATTACATCCAGTTATTTTAAACATAAGACTAATAATAGTTCTCTCATTCAAATGCTTGATTACAGGCCACTATAGGGAAATGTTCACTGCTTTTGCTTCTCAGAATTTGTTTCTGATTTATGGTGAGATTCAGCCCGCTGCAAAGAGACCAACGCAAGGCATTGTGCCATTTAATTCCTGCTTAAAACCTATCCTGAGGATTCAAATGCGACTTAAATGGCACCAGTGGAGATTTCCATAGTTTCATATCAAAATTTAATAGCAAACATTTTATAAACACTTGAAGCGCTCACTCTTGTTGTGCCTCACAAAAATCTCTGTGAATAGCTTCGATGTATTTTTAATTGGATCATGAAGGAGTAAAATTTCAACTAACTTAAGTGACTCATTTGTGCAGAACACAATTGATTTCAATGGACCTCCTGTTGGGAACAAAAACCTCTCTCTGCAGAACGGGTAATGTATGATTTAGATCTTCCTCAGAGATTAATGGAAGATCTTAGAAAATTAATAAAACGAATAAACAGAAATTAATAAAAGTTCTTGTCCCAGCATGGCGCCATTAAGGCTAAGGGGGCAGGGAGGGATTATTCCTTTCCCCCCTTCCACAGGGGGACCACATCCGGGGTACAGCAGCCCCTCTCCTCCCTGCCCCACCCTGCTATGGGTGGTGGGGGGGGGGGGGGGGGGGGGGGGGGGGGGGGGGGGGCGCTCTGTGCTGGGGACTCGGAGCCCTGTCAGCAGTGCAGCCTGGTCCAGCACACATGGGCAGCAGCTGGCCGGGCAGTGGGCTAACTCAAAAGTGCAACCAGGCCAGGCTGCACTGCTGACAGGACTCAGTGTCCCCGTCACTGAGCTGCTGCTGCCGGGGGTGGCCCCACTCCCGCAGCCTGGCCCGGCCTGGCCTCTCTGTGTGGGTGCCCAGCCAGGGCTCAGTGGGACCAGGACAGGCTGCAGAGGTAGGGCCACCCCCCAGGGGCAGCACCTCAGTGACAGCTGCTCCCCGTGCCCAGGCTGGGCTGGGCAGCATTGTACAGAGCCCCCCACTCCCTGCCCCATGGTGGCGAAGACAGGAGGGGGAAGAGTCCCCCTCACTGCCCTGCGGGAGTGGGGAGAAGCAGGGGGAAGAGTCCCCCTCTGAGGCCGGGCAGCCCTACACAGAGGCCCCCTCCCAGCCCTGTGGTGGTGGGGGATGGGAGGAAGGTGGAGGGGATGAGTCCCCCTCTGAGGCCGGGCAGCGCTCTGTACCTGGATTGCTCCCAGCAGTAAGGGAGTTGCTGGGGTGGGCAGAGCTCTCCCGTCCTCCTCCTCGTTTCTCCCTCCCCCAACCCAGCCACAGGGGTCTGGCCCTGCTCCCTCTTCCCCCACCCTCCAAACCCTGCAGGCCAACATGGGGGTTTAAACCCTGCCTCAGCCTTGCTCAGGCATGCTGGGGCCTGGCCACATCCCTCCCTCCCCGCTCAGCTCAGGTCAGCTTTTCTGTAGAAGGGAAGGTTCCAACGTTAATTGTGCTCCCGGGTTTCTGGCCTGAGCCACTGCAGGCATGGGCCAGCATTTCTGAATGAAAAGGGAACGTCTATTCACTTGCAAACGGTTCAAACATTGCAGGTTAGATTAACCTGCAAAGACTGAATCAATTCAGGCTCGGGTTTTTTGAAAGTCTGTCCCTAGCCTTAAGCTTCTGAGTAATATTATGCAAGTCATTACTTCTATTGCATTTCATGGGACTACACATGTATGCAGTTATTCAAATGTGTCAGTGAATTACACAATTAGGCCTTGAATTGGTAATTAGTTTTCACTGTAATCTCAGTTTGGTCTCTTCCACTCCTCAAATGAGGCCAGCCACCTGAAATTTACTGTGTCTTTTTCCATTGCATGATTTGGTAAAAAAATATTTAGGGATTAATTGGACACGATTAAAGTGCCAGCTATAAAATCAAGGGAAATTACAATTGTTCAAAATATTTCTAACTTAATCATTAAAAAACATTGTCAAGAAACTGATTTTTTCTGCTTTCCTTGATGATGAACATTCTTCATGGTTAGTCTGAAAGATTAAATTTGGAGTTACTTGCTATGGTTTTCTTTCATTAACTTCACTGAGACCTATGACTAGTAATATCGGGATATGCACTAGTGACAACTTTAACCTACTGGGATTAATTAACATTGGAACCAATAAAAAAGTTTGAACTTCTGTCCAAACATCACAGAACATAAGAGGTCTTTTTAGTTACTGCCCCTGACAGATATTTATCAGACCCCATGGTGCTCCTCCGTGGGCCAGATGAGGGACATGGGACTGGTCTACAGGCCAAACTACAAACACGTTCCTCCTCTGCCTGCCAGGATCAGGCTCTGGGCCCCCACAAGTCATTATTGGGCCTACTGGTGCAGGGCCATGGTCCCATGAGACTCCCCACAGACTCAGGGGGAGGCCCTGCAGGCTGGATGATAGGGCCCGGGAGCTGGATCTGGCCTGCAGGTTGGACTAAAGAATCCTTAAAAACCCTTAGTGAAGGAGAGTCCACAAACTTTTTGGGTAATTTATTCCACTGCTTAAATGTCCTTACAATTAGAAACTTTCCCTTACTACTCAACCTGAATCTCCCACGTTGCAATTTAAGGCAATTCCTTCTTGCCCTCAACCCAGTGCATAGGGAACAGTTTAGAACTTTCCTCTTTGCAGTAAAAACTTTTTCATGTTTGG